GATTACATATCAATATTTTGTACTACTCTTTGTTATTTTTTTATTGCCTTGGTAGGTAAACGAGCACACGGCCCACCTGATGGTAAGTGGTTACCGTCGCCCATGGACTTCAGCAATGCCAGTGGCAGAGCGAAGCCGCCGCTTACATCAAGTCTATCTTGTTCTATAATTTGTCAAATTCATAAATTGTTGTTATGTCATGGTAAGATGCAATGGACGTTTAGCTTACTCAAATAACCATTAAAATGGCACTTACTTCATATTTAACCCAAATCACACTAGAAAAGCTTAGATTAGTAAAAAATTTAAGTAAAATATTGTACTCATTTATTAATAACCCTTAAGAATAACTCTTTGTTTTAAATTACTTCAATATTTATTTATTTATTTATTTATTTTATTAGGCTCACAATACACATTACAAGCTAATGATACATAAAAAACACAAATAAAAAGAAACAAAATCTGGCTTGCAACATAAGTTACGTGCGCACGACAAAACAAGACATATAGTGCTGAATTTGTATAACAATGTTCCTTACAATTATGACAAAACAACACAATAACAAAAACTAATCTAACGAATAATGTAACGAAAAAAAATTATTCACAATATAATACATTAAACAATTACATTAACCTACCTATACATAAACTGGAGGATGCCCTTGAACATTTTTCTAAACGTAACTAACCTACAAGTAAAAATATCTAACTCAGGTGACGACCTTGCCAGTTCGTTATAGGTACGACACATTCGGGTAATGGGAATAATAATAACTATTATTGCTTGCAAAACTCAGGTCATCCACCGAACTTCGTAAAAATCAAAAACCTATTCTGCAGATTTAAAACGATATTTCAAAAGCAATAAGAAAAAACAACCCCACACGCAAAGAGCCAATACGAACTTCATCACAACTTCAATATTTCGTTTAACGATCATGTCCCACTGGATTCTGTGTAACGTAGCAGTTCAAATCACTTCCTTTATAAGTTTTTAAACTAGTAATACTCGTTTACAACGTGGAAAAGTGTCATAGCATCGTTAAGATTTAGCTTTACACTAGCTTTTTATGGAGCCGGTGCTTTAGTTCCGAAATGATGAGCTTAACATTTTGTGTTATATTTCCGAAGAAACTATCAAAGGTCGGTAAGCCTTCTCTAGCCGAAATATAAAGACGACATTTTTTGCATACAAAAATCAGACTAGCTTACAGCCAGCCTGATAGTAAGTAGCAACGGTCGTACATTTTCAAGATATGTAATTATATAATAGTTTTTTTTTTATTGCTTAGATGGGTGGATGAGCTCACAGTTCACGTGGTTACTGGAGCCCATAGACATCCACAATATAAATGCGCCACCCACCTTGAGATATAAATTCTAAGGTCTCAAGTATAGTTACAACGGCCCACCCTTCAAACCGAAACGCATTACTGCTTCACGGCAGAAATAGGCAGTGTGGTGGTACCCACCCGCGTGGATTCACTCAGAAATTTACTCGCCGAGCTCTTTGTCGCAAACGACGGGTTCGACGAGAACGATGACCGGTGCTTGAGGTACATAAAAGCACCATTTTTGGGTCGTCAGAATCCAAAATGACGTGCAGACACCTATTGATATGCCAAAGTAAAGACCGCCTACCTATACATGAGGTGGAAATCACAAATGCTACGCAGAACTAGTAACAAAAGCATGGTGATTTTTTTTATTGCTTAGATGGGTGGACGAGCTCGGAGTCCACCTGGTGTTAAGTGGTTACTGGAGCCCATAGACATCTACAACGTAAATGCGCTACCCACCTTGAGATATAAGTTCTAAAGTCTCAGTATAGTTACAACGGCTGCTGCACCCTTCAAACCGAAACGCATTACTGCTTCACGGCAGAAATAGGCAGGGTGGTGGTACCTACCCATGCGGACTCACAAGAGGTCCTTCCAGGGTGGTGGTACCTACCCATGCGGACTCACAAGAGGTCCTTCCACCAGTACACAACAGTATACAACACAAATCTACTACTGCAGTCTTACTAGTACAATAAGTGGCAGAAAGAGCTTGTGTAAGTGAGTATAATTTTTAATAACAGTCATAATAATTAACTCCAAAGATAGCATTTAGTATCGTTATATTTCATAAGCATTATTTTAAGCACCAAACTAAACCTCAAACAGAAAGTACTCTAAAGACTATTATTGCTTGCGGTGAGCTTCTATGTTTGTCTTCAGTCTCAACTTGAACTTTACACGTTACGCTCGTTCTGCGGGCCGTCTAGAACTTTAAACAAGTTTCCAGTTTGAAGACAAAGTACTTATGCGATTTAAAATAGGATCCTTTTCGGAAAATATGTCGTGAGGGTTCACGGGTACCGTAAGGATGCCAGAATGCTTAACGGAAAACACCTATCGCCATTTTATTATTACCTTTATCGGTTATATTTATTGCTTATACAAGTTTACGAGCTCTCGTGTCGTCTGAGGTTAAGCTGTTACCGGAACTTATAGACCGCCATCAACCTTGAGACAGTTCTAAGTCTCAGTTCTATAGTATAACGACTTTTTCGTGCTTCAAGCTGAAACGCATTACGGTTTCGCGGCAGAAATAGGCAGGGCGGTGGTACCGACCCGTAACAGTTCACAAGATATCCTACTACCTTATAGATGTGCTTCTTTACACGTAGTGTGTTACCTCTAACATTTCTGATCCAAGACCAACTGTGGCTATACCCCGTCGCATATAGCCTTCGAATATTTCTAAAATCTGCACGGTACGAAATTAAAAAGAATTCCTCCCAACTTCTTCCGAATCTACAAAACAGATGAATACCCTCAATATCCTTTAATAATTTCACATCCAGCTACCCTCCATTGTGCTTATGACAAAAGAACAAAGCGCCGGTGTTTGGCCCCGAATCGATTCCGCCGCAGATTAGCATTCCATTGTATGATTGATTGGACACAATGCGTGGAGCCCGCTCGTTTGTCCGACCACCCTCATTATAAATAATAAACATTTCGGAATGTACTGATAATGTACGATTTATTTTTGTTTGAATGTAAATGTTTGAAATGCCTAGCTAGCCTTTTACTGACAGGGCATATCGTAAGTACGGGTAATGTTATCATCTCAATTTCTGGTATGGAATAACTACGATTTCTGGTTTAAAGGCTAGAAGGGTACAACTTCTTCAACTTCAACCTCAAGATGATGGCACTTGTTACTTTTGGGCTTCGAAAACCACTTAGTACCCAGGTAATCTACTGTCCCGTCTACGACAATGTAGAAAATTTTTTATAACACATGTACGTTTTTTTTTTATTGCTTAGGTATTGCTTTGGGTGAACGAGCTCACGGCCCAAACTACATTAAAAAAAAAATCGGACAATGCAAAAATTACGTATGTATAACATTAAAACATAGTTGCACGGTCGTAGCTGACGCCACCTGCAGGCCCGCCCATAAATTACGATAACGTGAGCCTCCCCCGCCCGAACAGCCCTTATCTCGTGAATTGCCGAATTCGCACTTCCACGATGTGTATTTATTACGTTTTGAATCATCGCGTGTAAAAATCACGAACGTTATTTTTCGCGTGCGATTTATTCGGTTTATTTTAGAAACCTTCATACTTTAAGCAGGGAAGTCGAACATTCTACCCGCTTTTACCACACGTCAATTAAAAAAGACATTGCATTAATGCAATTATCGAATGCAATTATGCACTTATCGAATTCCCACTTCCACGATGTGTATTTATTGCGTTTTGAATCATCGCGTGTAAAAATCACGAACGTTATTTTTCGTGTGCGATTTATTCAGCTTATTTTAGAAGCCTTCATACTTTAAGCAGGGAAGTCGAACATTCTATCCGCTTTTACCACACGTCAATTAAAAAAGACATTGCATTGATGCAATTATGGAATTCAATTGTACTTTTGAAGGTGTTCTGCGGCGTAAACATTCGCAAAGCCTTCTGTTACTGGAGTAAAAGTAAATGATCATTAGCTTGTATATTTTTGTTGTTGTTATTTGTTTGCGTTTTTTTATTGCTTAGATGGGTGGACGAGCTCACGACCTACCTGGTGTTAAGTGGTTACTGGAGCCCATAGACATCTACAACGTAAATGCACCATAAATAAGTTCTAAGGTCTCAGTATAGTTACAACAGGTGCCCCACCCTTCAAACCGAATTACTGCTTCACAGCAGAAATAGGCAGGGTGGTGGTACCTACCCGTGCGGACTCACAAGAGGTCCTAACCCCAATGTTTGTTAATTATTCAGGCAATGTGTTAAACCATAGCTATTTATGCCAAATATCAGTACATTCAACATCATATTTAGTAAATTAGAAATGTTAAGTACATATTTTACTAAGCGAGACCCTAGATGGGGATGATAATGGGGACAATTTGTATTTAAGTGTTATGTCGTAAAACCTATTATTCTATTTGAATAAAAAATAACGCTCTTTTTAATATAACCGTATTTCATCCTCGATAATATTCACCTGAAAGAAATGATGGTAGCGATAATACTGCTCATCATATTACCCTTATCTATATATTAATACACGAAGCAAAAACTTTGTGCCCCTTTTTACGAAAATTGCGCGGACGGAGGAGTATGAAATTTCCCACACTTATAGAGAATATAGAGAAGAAGTGCACAGTGCGAATATATTTTTTTAAATTATGCATAAAAATACATTAAATCAATAAAGAAAAAATTACACACACTACCATGTATTTGTGGTATGTGGTGTGTGGTGTGTTCATTACTATTTTTCTTAATTGAGGGCAACTAACCGCTTTAAAGACACAACAAGATGGCGTTATCAAAAAAAATATCATCATTTAGTCTGTGATTATAGAAGTGTATAATAGTCTTTGACAATAGAACCATAATAATGTTCAAACTTATAATTTCAATTAATTATACCGAGGGACCACTAGTAATAGTAAAATTGCGTAAAAGAATTAAAGACAAAGAAACGACTCACCTGAATGATAAAGTAGTCAAAGGCCTGTATGACTTATGACTGTTCACGTCAGCCATAGGCGTGCCCCAGAAGTCATCCAGAAACAGCTGCTTCAAAGAGTTCGTGCCCACGACGTCACCATTCGTGACCACAGCCGGGATGTCGTCATGCACGAAGTCGCCATGTAAACTGTTGACGTAGCTGAGAACAGCTGTGGCGGTGACCATGGCGTAGATCGCTAAGTCGCTGCGGGACTTCTTCGGTGGGTGCTCATCGCGGAGGGCCGTCAGAGATCGCCGCTTCATCTTGGGGCTGGTTCGCGGTTTTATGGTCACATTTCTACACTTGCACATTTGAAAGTTTTTATCTGAAACAAACAAAATGGGAAAAATAAAAAAATTATTCATAATACTGGAAGAGATTTCAACATGAAATAAGTAGTGCCCTTGTACTCTGTACCCTTATTGCCGTGTTTCTTCTAACAGCTGTGTGTACAAAATATATTAAATAAATAAAATAAAAATAAATAAAAGTTTTGAGTAAGCTTAATTTGAATTAGTCGTAATGGATTATTAATCTGAGCAAATCAGCTAGCACTGATTAGTCTTCTGATTATTCCCGATTCAAAGACACCCTTCGTTCCGGCTTAAGAATAGTAAGTACATCTACTTGATATCCTAATGTATAGGCGGCTTTCGTGTTCTAAAGCTGCTTTAAAGCTGTTATAGGCGTTTAACGTCAAATGATCCGTAAGATTATTTAATTATTTACGATAAAAATCTGAACTGTTCATTCAAAACAGATTCTTTAACCGAACAACAAGATAATTCAATTTCTCATTTAATATGATGTGATGCAAAAGCAAAAAAATGTCAAAACATTTTTAAGAGAAAACAGATTAGAAAAAGTAAGATATGTGTGTCAGACTTGACACAAATGACGGTTCCGTAGGTATACATATATTTATTAATATTTTGTGTCATTATTTTTTTTTATTGCATAGATGGGTGCACGAGCTCACAGCCCACCGGATATTAAGTGGTTACTGGAGCCCATAGACATCTACAACGTAAATGCGCTACCCACCTTGAGATATAAGTTCTATGATCTCAGTATAGTTACAATGCAACGGATTGCAATTAATTTTCACGTACTGGAACCGGACGAAGGCACTCGTGTAAGCATACTGTATGATTACTCTGTCTTGTAAGGCCTTGCGGGTAGTTCCAATGCTCTGCCTATTTCTGCCGCAAAGGTGTCAGTTTGAAGAACGAGCCAGCCTTTATTTAACACGATTGAACGTCCCCGTGCCTTAAGGTCGGTGACGGCTTCAAATCGCGATGTGTTTATAGCCATATTTCTACTCTGTACTAGATCGTGAGCACGTTCAAAGATCTACATACATACTTATTAAAATAAAAACACACTTTTCGGTTTGTGTAAATTAATCTCAAGAATGTTTATCTTGTAAGGTTGACTCGTTGGATACCTCTGGGTCTCCGGAGAGACTTTGGTTATCTCTGTATTATGTACCGTGTGTTCCATGGGGAGTGCTCTGAGGAATTGTTTGAGATGATACCATCATCTCATTTTTCCATCGCAGCGTTCACCACTAGAGTAGAGTTCATCCATACTACCTGGAGTCATTGCGGTCATTCACAGAGTGTTTCCAGCGATCTTTTTTACCACGTACCATCCGGCTTTGGATTGGGCTCCCCTACAGGGTGCTTCCCGAGCGTTATGACATGTCCTTCTTCAAACGAGGCTTGTGGAGAGATCTTAACGGTAGGCAGCGGCTTGCCTCTGCCCCTGGCATTGCTGACGTCCATGGGCGACGGTAGCCACTCACCATCAGGTGGGCTGTATACTCGTATACCAAAGAGGCAATAAAAAAAATTGCTTTTGACTTTAGAAGGGCATAATATTTCTCCAAACGATGTATTCAGGTCACCGACCATCATTCGTTATTTTTATTATTTATGTACAACAACTTGCGGCGATATGCTGGGAGAGATTGGATGCGGAAGGCGGAGGATCGTTCATTGTGGCGGACTATGGGAGAGGCCTACATCCAGCAGTGGATAGATACAGGCTGATGATGATGATGATGTACAACGCAATCACGTACGCTTTTGATCTCTTCATTTTTTTTCACACCACAGTTACATTGATGGCGTGACACCCCTAATTCAAAAATATTACGTATAATTTCATCACCAGTTTTGGCAGACGGCTTCTCGGATTTCATCACTCATGGACTGACTATTGAGAAGTTCTTACAAAAAGACCCTAAAGATCTTTTTTTTGTGACAAACGGTTAGACAGGACTAAAGGTTCCTTTTTGTCCTTTAACCACGGATCCCTGTTAGATTATCCATTATCAAGGAAATCATAAATGTTTTAAAAATTTCTTAATTCATAACTTTTTTGTATTAACTCACAGAATGGATTTCTCGGAATGTCGTAATATTTCGCGTATTTCACGATCCAATAACTCAATGAGATTTATTGGATTTGTAACGAAACTATCTATAATTTTAAATAATTGTTTCAATTGTATTTAATCGAGGTCTATTAGTTTCAAGAAATCAGGTTCGATAATTTATAGATTTTGGAATAACCGGTAGCCTAGTCTTTAAACTAAAATTTATGAATTTTCTCATAGTAGGGAGTAAAGAAGCTATAGAAATGGCAATAAGTTCGGAAATAAGCGAAAAACAGTATATGCCTTATTGCAGATAAAGTTCCAATTAGATACGCATCATATCGCTTAAGCCTGGAGCGTGATGTCTACAGGAATGAACAAAAACTGAGCACACGGAACGTTTAGAGCAGACGCTTCCAACGTTTTTGTCTTTTGTAGCGAATGCGTATTTTTTTAGGCTCATTCCCTCTCGTAGATCCGTTTAGGAAATGAGGAACAATTTTTAATAAGTTCCACATTCGGAATTACATTTTGGAAGCGACCGGCCCAATAAACAAGACCTACGGAATTCCATCACTTTGTTCCCACCGTGATGCCGAGACGTTAATCTAAATAACTATTTTTCAATAAACCCTGCAGGCAATATAACTGCGTTATGAATTTTTCGTCGGGCCTACTCAGAGCTCAGTACGTGCCGCAAATATAATATCGAGGAGCGGAAAAAAATACGACGGAATTCGGCTCCGGTCGCTTGCTACGTGGGCTCTGTAGTTTTCATTAAGTTAATTTATTTATTAATATTAAATATGTAGAACTAATAATGTATTTAATATTAAAACCTTCAGTAATATACTCATGCCGGTATGAACTGGGGCTCAACATAAATAAAAGGCTTCACCCAAATACAAATTAAAACCCAATTCAATTATTAAGATATTTATTATAAACTGCTGTTTTATCGTTAAATTTTTCGCTCTCTTGTGGTGTTCCGCTCGTAGTTTCTATACGAATAAAACTGCCTTCACTTCGCCTACGTCACGTCTTTTCGACTGTCTACAATTTTCCAGAACATTCTCGACAGAACTATGCTCTAGAGCATTCTAAAGACTTTTTAGTTATTTCGATATTCGTTTTGCTGTCTGAGAACAGATGGTATTACTCGTACCAATATAACAATAATTACTACATAATATGTCAAGCTCACATAACTAATGGACTATTATAGCAAAAAACGACAGTAATGAATTCGTTGTCGTAAATAAAACAACGACTAGTAATTATTATAATTTGACTATTATAAAAGTATTCCTATGTCATTAATCACGCAATTCAATCTAGCCAATTGATACATTATCACTATTATAGCAATATAGTTGCGTTGCGTACGTATTACGCAATTTTATCGGCCGTATTTTGCGAGACCGATACTGCACGTGCTCGAAACAAATAACTAATATCCCTCTTTAACGGACAAAGAAAACTGAACAATTTGATTGAATTATCAATAATTAATTGCCTGTTCACAATAATATAATAGTTTTGATGTATTCTTTCAAGTCATTAACAAGGTCATTAAAGTCATTCATTTTGACGTGACAACGTCTTATAGTTCGATGGAGTCGGCTGTACGCACGAAAAAACATGACTCATGCGGCGTTACCTCGCTCTGAGGCGATGTGAGCGATACATGCGCGTGGACAGCTGCTATACAATAACACATTTACATGTTTTCGTCAAGTATAAAGTTCAGTAAAAAGTGAATGTGGTGTCAATAAAAAATTGTTTATAGCAACGATAATTGCGATAATTAAAAAATGAAACCATTCCATCAGTATTTTCTTATGACGTTGTCACGTTCAACTATCGTCAGTAAGCCGACTTTACAGACAACCGATTTTTTTTGTTTACATTTTAAAGTTCCCGATATTTCTAAGACTTTGAACAGTAATAATAATTAACGGTAGAGATTATGAATTATATTTACAAAAAATTAAATCGAAGAAGAGTTTAGAATCATATTTATGACTCGCAGTTCTTCTTTAAACTCGATTTAGAAGGTTTCGTAATAGATAGAACGGAACTCCAAAAATTCTCATCGCGTTATTCGGCAAGCACTAAATATAAATATCTCGAATTTGCGGCACCCAATGTACGTTGTACGTGGCCTCGCTTCGTATTACAGCTATTGCTGTAAATCATTGAATTTTACAACGTTTATAAATTTCGTTTTCGTGGATAGATAGAATGCTCACCAAAATATTTATATTTGAGTTGTTTCGTTGCTACGAATTCAAAGTCGACACTGAAAAGTGAGAAGACTTAACAAGATAACAAATTGTCGAGATAAAGACCCAACCCACTGAGTTTCTCGCCGGATTTTCTCAGTGATCGCGGTTCCGGTTCGGTGGTAGATTCAGCGAAGCACTGTTCTTGTTTTGGCAGATGATGTAAGCCCTTTTAGGCTGAGCCCGGAGACGACGGAATAGCTCTTCGAGGATACTGAAGATTAGGTATGGAAAGGTAGGTAGGCATAAGAAGATCCTATCTTGATATCTTCAAAGTACTGTAACATCACAACGTTTATAATTAGTATAATCTCCAATTCAGACAGCGAGTTGACAGTGAGTTCTCGGTGAGTTCACAGTGAATTCACAGCGAGCAAAAAAAAGGGTGCGTGTACTTATGTACGCGCGTAAGAAGTTATACTCAATTTTTTTTTTCAATTTTAATTTTTTTTTATTTTTTTATTTTAATCTATTTGAAAAAAAAAACGATTAAACAACATCCTCAAACACGCATATTGGACATCCCTTTTCTTGACATCGTATAAATTCGGTAATTTTCGGTACGGTTCGGAAAGTTCACCTGCGGCTATATTCAGACTTGCCAAGTTACGTCGGTCGTATTGTAATGAGCGATTTAGTGGGCAACTTCATTTCTGT